CTACCAGTCTTTTTTTTTTTAATTTTTTTTTAAATGTTTTATTTTATTTTTGAGACAGAGACAGAGACAGAGCATGAGCAGGGGAGGGGCAGAGAGGGAGGGAGACACAGAATCCGAAGCAGGCTCTGGGCTCCGAGCTGCCAGCCCAGAGCCCGACGCGGGTCTCGAACTCACGGACTGTGAGATCATGACCTCAGCTGAAGTCGGACGCTCAACCGACTGAGCCACCCAGGCACCCCAAGACCTACCAGTCTTAAAATCTAGAGCCCCTCGATGGTAGTTTGGGTCTTGAAGGATCGAGTTTGTACCAGACTCTGCAGTGGAGCATGCTTTCAACGGTGTATTTAGCCGAAGGGTATTTTGGAGTGAGCCGTGGTGACCTCCAGCTCCCCTCTAGCTGGGAATGAAGCTCACGTATAGAATCTGCATATGTAGCTAGCAAAACAGCTTTGTGGCTGGTGATGTCAGAATAGAGGCAAAGAGAGAGCTTACTTCGAGACCTTGCTGTGAACATCAGTAATTTCCATTCTTCTCTTTAAAAGCCTGCCTTTTAGGGACTAGACAGCGACCAAAGTCTAGAAGAAGTAGTTTAATAAGTAGGGACAGCTTCTGGAGTATTGGCCCGTAAGAGACTCACCCTTTTTTGGGCTACAGGTCATTTGATTATACGCTTCAAATTTCTAGGACAAATGGAATTTCTTATGGTCTCCCCCGCCCCAAACCATTAGAATCTGTTAGGAATCAAAATAGTTGAGTGTCTGAGTGCTTCGAGCCCAGCATCTTTTCAGATTGCACACTCCAGTGTTTCATTTGGAACAGAGGGGCCGCCAAGCCACCTGTGAGGCCAGCTGTTTGCTTCCGAAAAGTGGTACAAAGAAAAGGACCTTTTTGTGGTTGCCCTGTGTCTGAGGAAAGGGGGACGAGGCTAGCTTGTCAACAATAACGGTATTGCTTTTCTGGTCACCCGGAAGCAAAGGAAGGCATGTGGGTGAGAAACCCCACCAGGGTACTGCCCCGGTGCAGGGCTCATAGAGAAACTGGGTTCAAAGCCACCTCTCCGCCTGGAGAGTGCAGGGACTGTGTCCAGTATCTGGCACATCATGTCATCCCATGGAAGGGTCATCCCAGAGCTCCCCCTCTGGCTCTTCCTGTGAACTTGCCTGTGAACTTGGCTAGGCTCTCCTCTCCGGAGGAGCAGGAGGACGGAGGGCCAGCCAGACGTGATGACCCCCACCTCCAGGTCAGGAAAGTCAGCTTGGTTTTTTTTGTTTGTTTGTTTTGTTTTGTTTTTTCTCTCCCTCTCCTTTAGGAGATGGACTTCCTAAAACCCAGTGTACTGAAAAGCCTCCCTAGAACAGTCAAGGTCATGTCTTTCCCAGGTTCTAGAAATCTAAAAAGACAGACATGTTCCTGAAGAGGCGTTCATGTCGAGGCACATTGTCTAAGATCGGGGTGCTGACTTGTTGCCTGTGTTCTGTGTGTGATCCCCAGGCATCCTCTCAGGGGGGCAAACCCACCCCACTGGTGGCTGGCGTCTCTGCAGCGACAACCCTCTTACAAATGAGCACCACGTGGCCCCCCCTTCTACGCTGTTCAGTGCTTCCGGCTCTAACCTGCCTTCCTGCCACTCCTCACTGCCTGCCCTCACTGACCCAAGTGCTGCCTGTTCCCAAACACGCCTTGGCTGATGCTGTCACCTTCCCAGTTCTCACTTCCGCCTGGTGGACATCCTACCCCTCCCTGCAGGCCTCCCCTCCTCCACCCCCACCCTAAGACTCCACGAAGCAGCTTTTTCCAAACTTCCCATTCACATTCATTGTTTTGGCCCTTCCCAAGTCCTGCTTGTATATAATCATTGACTTTATGTTTTTATTTAAAGCCACTTACTCTGAATACAAAAATGAAACTCATTTTAGATGTAGATTTGACCAGCACACACGTAAGGCATATACTCACCCTGACAAGCACTGAGCACTGTGTACAATTATTGAATCGCTATATTGTACACCTGCAGCCAACCTAACGCTGTATGTTACCTGTTACTGGCATCACAATTACAAAAACAAAACAAAACACTTAGTAAAACAACAGCAACAACAAAGAAGGCAAGTCTCCTAACTTCACGATAAATACCATTGTGTTGGGAAGGTTCTCGCTTCGGGTTGGAATTACCTTTAGTGTTAGGTGTCGAGGCCATTAGCAGCTTACTGGGACTTAGTCCTGGAGGGAGTCGGAGGTTAAGGGATACTTTTCTTTCTGGGTGACTTCGTGTTGTTCGGTGCTTTGACCTACGGGAAGCCATCTCATCCTCTGGGGTGCATGCTTTAGAGGTTCCCTAGCCAAAGGGATTCTCCTCATCTCCAGATCGACTTTGGTTGGTTCTCTCACAAAGTGCTTACCCAGTTCTGTCTGTAAAACAAGCCTCGTGCGGTGATTCTGCTCATCCACGTGTCGTTGGGCAACTTGAGGGCAGGAGCTGTGTCTCGTTCCCATTTCCCCCAGAGGCCCAGATGAGAGTCTCAGAGGTGGGCATGTGCCCCCGAGAAGGGGCTGGCCCTCTGAGACAGAGGTGCAGAAGTGGCCTAAGTGGGTACGGTGAGATGGGCGCCTCCATCGGCGTGTCCCCGCCACACCGAATTTGTCGGGCATTCCTGGCTGGCCTTGGTTTGTCTTACCCAGAGCCTGCTGGCCTAGAGACCCTGCACGTGAACCTGAGTCCAATCCACCGTTCTTTTGTTTGTGTGTTGTTTGTTTTTTCACGCATCGGCTTTAGTCGTAGGTAAAGCTCCACCATCCACTACGGCGGGCGGCCAGTCCCCACCCGAAACTCCGCTCCTCACCCGCTCCTCCTCCCAAACTCCCACGGCTGGTGTCACGGCCACCACCAGCACCACGTCCACCGTCACGGCCCCGGCCGCCGCCGCCACGGGAAGCCCGGTGAAAAAGCAGAGGCCGCTTTTACCGAAGGAGACTGCCCCGGCCGTGCAGCGGGTCGTGTGGAACTCGTCAAGTAAGTTTCAAACGTCTTCCCAAAAGTGGCACATGCAGAAGATACAGCGCCAACAGGACAGCCAACAGGAGAGCCAGCAGCAGCCACAGTGCTCCCAGGGGACGAGATATCAGACCAGACAGGCTGTGAAAGGTACCACGCGCGCCCCCTTCTGTTCTCGTGGTGCCCGCTCCCTGTTCGCCACATCGACAGGAGAGAGAGAATGGTTTTGTTTTTTCCGTTCCTTTTTGTTTCCCGGCCGTTGCATCTTGAAGGCCTCACGCGCTCCATTTGGCATCATTTTTAAAAATTGTCTCGCAGCTCGTTTTTTTCACTCCTGTTTATTTATTTTTCGTTTCTGGACAATATGTGCGTATAGGCTTCTTAGAAAAGGGTAAAATACTTACCCCCAAATCTGTTGTCTTGATTGAACTTCCATTTCATCCTCCACCCTTTCTCAGCGGCCACTGTTCACTGTAAAACCCTTTTTTATGCATGTATGCATATATATTTACATATATATGAATCTTCATAAAAAATAGGACTTTTTTTTTCTTTTTTTTAAAACATAAAAATGGTACCATACTTGCTTTCCCCCCCCTTTTTTTTCTTTTTCTTTTTCTTTTTCTTTTTTTTTTTTTTTTTTTTTTTTTTTTTTTTTTTTTTTTAACCCATCAGCATGTTTTGGAGGTTCATCCATGTTAGTGCACAGAGCTCTTCATTATTCTTTTGGACTGCTGCATAGTATTCCACAGTTGATGTAAATCAAGTATTCCCCTACGGACGGGCATTTAGATTGCTCCCAGTTTTTTTTCTGTTGTGAGCAGTGCTGCAATGAATATCTTTGCGTAAGTTTTCTCGTGCACATCCGTCAGCCTCTTGGCGTTACCTTGGGAAGAGCGCTTTCAGTGTGAGACACTGGTAGCAGAGAACTAGGGATTAGCCCCGTGGAGAAGAGCCGGCATCAGTCAAGAAGCAGTTGCCGAAGTTGGGTAATCAAAGCCGCCCGACACCCCCTCCCCCCGCCGCCTCGGCCAAGCCATGCAGGAGGCTCCATCTGGTGCCGTGCAGAGGAGTACCAGGTTGCCTCGTTTTTTGAGCACTGATGCAGATCATGTTTCCTAGGGAAGCCTGCATCTAGATCCTTGGAGATTGGGGTCTTTGGTTGAAACCCTCACGTACTGAGCGCAGCCTAGCGAGTAGAGCTGTAAAGAGTAGCAGCAGGATGTGGGTTGAAAGGTGGCCAGGTCTTGAAGAGCCCCAAAGAATCCCTTCGAAGACGGGGCGGGGAGGGGTGGTTGGAGGTAAGAGTAACAGATTGGACAGGTCCAGTGGGAATGCAGCTAGATTGCTCTTGCTGTTTATTTTTTATTTTATTTTTTTAACATTTATTCATTTTTGAGAGAGAGAGAGAGAGCGCAAGAGAGCCCAAGTGGGGGAGGGGCAGAGAGCGAGGGAGACAGAATCCGAAGCAGGCTCCCGGCTCCCGGCTGTCAGCACAGAGCCCGACGCGGGGCTCAAACCCTTGAACCGCGAGATCGTGATCTGAGCCGAAGTTGGACGCTTGACCAGTTGAGCCACCCAGGCGCCTCTGCTCCTGCTATTTTAAAGGGCTAGTGGGGCAGAACTAAATCTAGGATATTCGAGGTCGGGATGACTAGTTCCTGTGTTTTCTGTCTTCGCACCCCGTCAGCATTACGAGCTTCCCCAGGGGAATTTAGGTGCTGGAGTTGAGAGGCCCATTGATGGTATGGTTCTCAATTTCCAGGTTGTCTTGTGTCAAAGGTGACAAAGCTGGATACTAGTTAAAGTGGTAAGGATGGGTTTTAATCAGTATGTATTATTACGATAGGGAGAAAAAGTCCAGCCTAAACTGAAGTCAACCCTACTTTGTACAGAGGTGATGAGGCATTTGAAAGGGAGAATGGACGGGGGTAGGGAAGGGGCCGAGTGGGGACCTCCAATAGAGTCAGGGAAGTGAAATTTTACAAAAAATGGGAAATGGGGCTTGGTCCGTGTGAAGCCCACGTGGGGCTGCTAACTGCTGCTTCTCAAAGTTAGGCTCCTACCCTCCCTGGGAGATGGGCCACAGGGGGTTTGCTGTAACAAACAGTAAATTTATATGGCAGCCTTGAACTTTCTCAGGCAGGCACTTTAATGGGGTCTGGGGTCATCCTAGGGATGCGGCCTTGAGCTGTTAGAAAAGTTGTTTGTGTTTGCCTGAGGCTTGGTCCCAGAAATGGCTTAGCGGATCCTAGTTAGAGTCTGGTCAAAGGGAGGGTGTTTGTCATTTGAAAGTAGAAAAGCTCAAAGGGCACGCACTGGGGACTTCACTCCCTCTGTGCAGCTTCGTGCTGGGTCGGGCCCTTCCCATGGCGGTGGGGTGACCAGGACACTTTCCTTTCCTAGCTGTGCAGCAGAAGGAGATCACACAGAGCCCATCCACCTCCACCATCACCCTGGTGACCAGCACCCAGTCGTCGCCTCTGGTCACCAGCTCGGGGGCCACGAGCACCCTCGCGTCCTCAGTCAGCGCAGACCTGCCCATCGCCACTGCCTCCGCTGATGTTGCTGCGGACATTGCCAAGTACACTAGCAAAGTGAGTGCCCATGGCACCTGGGGGATTGGGGGGGGCGTGTCAGAGGACCAGCTTCCAGATGGGAGCCTGGAGAGTCACGACCTTGCAGGCTTTACAGGGTGTTTTGGAGGGAAGACCCTGTTTGAAGTGAAGATCTCCAAGCCCAGATTCTTCCACTTGGCTCTAAAGTTGGACCTAAGCAGAGAAATCTAGAATGGGCTGCATCTTGTTCTGAGGGCTTAGATTCTAAAGTTAGTACAGAGCAGGAAAATGACACAGCGGCAGAATCACCCTGCGGAGCTCACGCCACTCGTGAAGACAGTTTCCTTAAGCGCTGGGACAGGTTACTGTTCCGTCAGTTGATAACAGACCAAGGAGTTGGTTTATGATTCAAAAGCCATGTGGAATGAAGTGACACGAGTCTTAGGCAGGAGGTTTGTAAGGTATGATACCCACACCAGGTTGGACTAGGGAGGGGTGGATTCCCTCCCGACTCACCCGCCCCCTGAGTTCACTGCTGGGTGTTCGCTCAGCGCAGACTCTTCCTCTTCACTTGCCAGGTGCTTCTTTGCTCGTTGAATTCAGGCAAATACAACCAGGAGCTGTTCTCAAGGTCACATGAGGTTGCTCTGGAGTGACACGCGGGTCCATAGCCACAGACCGCTCGATAGCGGAATAAGCACGAGGCCAGGATTTTGTATGTTTTGCTTACCTCCAGGGCCTAGAACGGTGCCTGGCTCACAGTAGGTGTTCCTGCAGGGTTGTTAAATGAATGCATGCTGGTGCCTAACTTCTCTGTGTTGGGCTTATTACCGTGAAGGGCTATTAATAGTAGTTAATGAGGAATAATCTAGGCAGAGTGTTTAGTATGTCACTAAGTAGGCAGTAATAATAATTTACTCTTCACTAAGGAGTAAGTGATTAGTTAGTTACTAATGAGTACACTATTCAGGTTTATAGAGAGCATGGGTGACCATTACTGAGGATCGCTGTTTCTAGAATTCTTGAAGTGCCATGATAAAGACTTGCTTTATTATATTGTGTTAAAGGTGGACTCTCCTTTAGTTCTGGATGACCAGTGACATTTATAATTTTATACCAGTGTATTTTTGTTGGTCATTTTCTTCCTATTCCTTCCATTGAGATGTGTCCGGTATCCTTATACAACAAATGAGCACAAAACATAGCAACTTAAACCAGTTCCCGTTTCTCCTCACAGTTTCTGGGGTCAGGAGTCTGGGCAGGGCTCAACTAGGTCCTCTGCTTTAGGGCCCCTGGCAGGTTCCTCTCAAGGTGTTTGCTAGGGTTGAGGTTTCATCCGAAGGCTCGACCAGGAAAGGATCCATTTCCAAGTTGACTTAGGTGGTTGTGAGCAGGATTTACTTCCTCAACGGCCGTCGGGCTGAGGGTCTCAGGTCCAGGCTGGCTCTTGGCCAGAGGCCGTCGTCAGTTCGTGCCATGTGGGCCTTCATACTTGGCAGTTTGCTTCCTCAAAGCCAGTGATAGAGAAAACCTGTTAGCAGGATGGAAGTCAGTCTTCTGTAACCTGATCTCAGAAGTGACAGCCTGTTACCTTTGTCATATTGCATTGGTTAGAAGGTCACTAGGCCAGCTCACACTGGAAGGGAGGGGGTTACACAGGGTCACAAACCCCAGAGCACCTGGGATCATTGAGAGCCATCTGTCTTTCACACTAGGTAAGATGGTCCAAGTACTAGATAGTGTTTGCATGGTGTTGCTCTGGCTCGAAACCTGCTGGTAAGTGTTATGCTTATATGTTATTTACTTAGCTTTCATAATAAATTGATGAGGTAGATACTGGTATCATCCTTGTTTTATAGATGAGAAAACTGAGGCTCAGTGGGGTTACACAGTCTGAATGGTTGAGCTGGGATTTGAATAGTAGCAGCCAGGATCTTAAAGAGTGGCTTTGAGCCAGTTTGTGAATACCTGTGAAGCCTACTGGCCACAGATGTCCAGTGTCCATGAACTGATTGTTCTTGCACGTGCCTTTTTCAACAACCCTATCTGACCCTACCCCCAACCCCCCTGTCTACGGAGAGAATCAGTACCAGTCTTGGGGATAACTTTGTCTCTTATGTAAATTTTTTTTTTTTAAACATTTTTTTTATTTTTGAGACAGAGAGACAGAGCATGAATGGGGGAGGGTCAGAGAGAGAGGGAGACACAGAATCCACCACAGGCTCCAGGCTCTGA